TTTAATAAAAAAAAAGCATTGAAAACTTCTCATTGGCATTGGAAATTCAAGTAACAAAGGCATTTTACTTGAATTGCGTAGGAACTCGATAAGTCACATTTTACTATTTTAGATTATCATTATGGTAAGAGTTGCATAAGAAATAACCCATTTATGTTTTTCATCTTTTATTTCCCCTAAGTGATGTATAAGAGGCTTTAGGGCAGACTTGACTCAATTGAAAATATATTTTCTTTGTGTAATTGAAGTAAAGTTGTTTCGCCTTTCTAAACAAATATTTGACTTGGTTATAGAAGTGAATTCATGATTCGCAACGTCGAAAAAACTTCATTATCCCTATTGAGCAATTCCTAGGTTCATGCTACCCACGATGTCAGACACGCTTGTTGACTTGTTATTTTGTACTAACTAAGGGCTGGTTTAATATTGTTGTGTTTTGAAAAAAAACTGTTTTTGTTGTGCTGTGAGAATAAGAAGCTGTGAAATAAAGCAGCAGAGTATTTGGTAAATTTTTTTGTAAAAGTGCTTTTGAAAAGAAAAAAAAGCAGTATTATAGTGTTTGATAAACTTTTATGTAAAATATATGTGAAAAAAAACTAGTTTTTCAAAGTTGAGTTTTGCAGCTTTGTGTTTTTGGCTTTTTTTCACCCAAAACTGTGAAAAAAAACTGAAGCTGAATGTTTACCAAACATAAAAAAGCTCCCAGTTTTTTTTTATGGCCACTTTTTTCAAAATCACCTCAGTACCAAACCAGGGCTAAACTTCACGCTAGGCAACAATGTGTCAGAGGGATGTTCAAAGCTCTGCCACAAAATGTCCACTCCAAATATTAAGGTGAAGGATTCCACTTTCCAAGGTGTAGCAGTTGTGGGAATCATTGTAGAATTTTTTTTTAGTGAAACGATAGCGTTAGTAAGTTAAATGTTAAATTAGTTACCTACGGGGTTCAAATCCACGCCGTCATGCAATGACACAACACCTTTCCACCATTGTGGTAATGATCACTTGCCAATCATTGCAGAATTGTTATTGATGCATTAGACGACCAGATAACTAGTTTTCTAGTCATCCTATCCAACACCACAAGATTTCCATTACCGCTAAGCTTTAAAACACCCGGAGAATCAAGTGGGAACTCTCTGTTGCCAACCCATACTAGTTCTTTGGGATTGTGTTATACCATATAACAAGGTGAAAATTTTTCATAATTTCCGAAATCTAGGGAAAGTACGTACCCTAATGAGCATCATGTGTTCTAAACTCGTAAAAATATTTCAGTCCAAAATGTCAGTAGTGACAGCAATTCAATTGACAATCTGAGTCCGCCAATAATTTTGAAGTAATGAGAAAATTTTTGTTGTGCCAGAAATACGAGTGGTACAATGAAAAATATACCTATTATCACCTCCCGCTGTCAGTAGTGATAGCAATTTAATAAGGACAATCCGAGTCCGCCAGCCTCATAAGTTCAAAGTGAGTTTGATCACCTTCCACTGTGGCACAAAAAACATCAAATATACCTATTATTACCGGCTCGTGTTTACATATACGGAAAGGAAAGAGAATGGCTGGAATGAGACTTATTCCCATCCGAATTACTCAAAATTTGTTTATCAACCAAATGAATAGTAGTGTGGGTCCCACATAAAATTAGGAGTCCAATTTATAAGAGCAGTTCCACCCTTGTGGATTGCTCGGGGGACAGGCACCAGGAAAGGGCCTTAGGCCCGGTGGACAACCCTCCAGCCTTGGAGAGCCTGAGTGAGGGTGGGAGCCCGAGCACAAGGGGGTGGGGAATTGACAGGCCTGCAGCCCGAGGGCCAGGCATTTTTTTATTTTTTTTGTGTCAACCCGAGGGCCTGCAGCCCCATTTCCATGTTTTTTTCTATTTTATATTATTTAAACAAACAAAAAAAACTAATATTTTATTACCTATTGCCAGGGGGAGGGCTCCAAGGGTGGAGATGCAAAAGGTAATTACTGTTCATTAATAACAGTTACTATTCATTAAAGGCAGTTACTGTTCAATAGGGTGGATTCAATAGTGGATTGCCAGGATGGAGTTGCTCTAATAGGGAAGTGTTATTGGCACTCCAAAAATATCATTCTACACTCCTCACAAGTGCATTTTTCTTTCCAAATATAGAAAGTTTGGAGTGTATAATGAGATTTTTGAAATGCTAATAACAGTTTCCTTCTGATATTGAAGAAATTGAATTTCGAAGGGAGAAGGTCGGGTTGGACAAGGGTGAATCGATATCGAATTTTTCATACCCAAATTACCTACTTATATTTTCTGGAAACACCAAAATACCCCTAATCTCATAAGCTATTTGGACTGGAAATTGATTTTGGAGGTGGTTTTATGTGATTTTACAGTAAGAAGAATTTGAGAGATTGAAAGAAAGAAACCGACTTGAATTCGTATGTCTATTCTCACATACGCCACTTAACCAAAAAAAATTCTCACATACGCCACTTGACAAAAAATATATATATATTCTCACGGCTTTTTATTCAAAATTGTCCCTGAGATTTGCATCATCCATAAGTTTGGCCCCTGAGATTTAAAATCAATCGAAGTACTCCCTGAGATTGTCCACTATCCATGTTTTGGTCCTTCCGTTGAAGTTTTTGGCCGGAAGTTTGGACAATTTTCAAAACTTCGTAACTCAATCGTTTCTTAACCAAATTCGACCCGTATATATCAAAATGAAGATAGGAAAGTATAGAATAAGATTATATATGTTTGGAAGCCCAATGGTTGCCAGAGATGGTCGGAAAATAGCCTCAAAATTGACTAGTCCGAGGAAAAACTGGAAAACTCGCCGGAAACTTGGTAAACTTTAAATGTTCATGACTTTTTCAATACTCAACGAAATTAAGTGATTCAAAAACAAAAATCATAATTCTCGACGAGAAGAAGAGAATGGTACCTTTTTCAATGGCTAAATTGTCGTGGTTTGGCCGGAAAACGGCTCGAAAGTTGCTGACTCGTTTTTCAACAGCCACTTTCGAGCCATTTTTCGGCCAAACCACGGCGAGTTAGCCGTTGAAAAGGTACCATTCTCTTCTTCTCGTTGAGAAGTATGATTTTCGTTTTTTGAATCACTTGATTTCATTGAGTATTGAAGAAGTTATGAACGTTTAAAGTTTACCCAATTTTCGGCGAGTTTCCGGCAAGTTTTTCAGTTTTCCCTCGGACTAGTCAACTTTGAGGCTATTTTCTGACCATCTCTGGCAATCATTGGGCTTCCAAATAGATATAATCTTATTCTACACTTTCCTATCTTCATTTTGATATATTATGGGTCGAATTTGGTTAAGAACAATTGAGTTACGAAGCTTTGAAAATTGCCCAAACTTCCGGCCAAAAGCTTCAGCGGAAGGACCAAAATCATGGATGGTGGACAATCTCAGGGACTACTTCTATTGATTTTAAATCTCAGAGACCAAACTTATGGATGATGCAAATCTCATAGACCATTTTGAATAAAAAGCTTATTCTCACATACTTGACCAAAAAAAAAAAAATTCTTGCATATGCCACTTGACAATAAAAAATAAAAAATAATTCTTACATACGTCACTTGACAATAAAAAATAAAAAATAAAATTCTCACATACGCCATCAAATGTTGGTGTATGTTTTTAGCATGGTCAACGAAGGACTTCGACCGGGTCAAAGCCAAAGAGGTTAGGGGGCGTTTGTTGCGCTGGACTATCTCGGATTGGACTAGCTTCAAGGACTAAGCTGGACTGGCTTAGACTAGACTAAGCTGGACTGGCTTAGACTAGACTAAGCTGGACTAACTTAGTGAAGCGTTTGGTACAGTGTTGGACTAAGAAGCTGGATAATAAATTCTAATATTATATTATTTAATATATAAATTATTAATATTTTATTATGATCTAGGTGACCGGAGATGACGAGGAGTCTATCGGGAGTGGTTGTTGAACATGACGAGGACGAGAGAGGATAGTCTTAGCTAGTCCCATGGTTATTGGGGGGGTCTCGCTAAGACCTCTTAGTGAAGGGTTTTGTCCATGCTAGTCCCCTTTAATCTCATTAATGTTAGTCCCAGCATGGAACAAACACAATATTATACTAACAGCTAGTCCAGTCCCACTTAGTGAGGACAAACAAACGCCCCCTTAGGATTTTAACTAAGATTGTGCCGTGCTGCTTGTGCTGTAGTTGTAAAATACTCCAATTATATACGGAACGAAACAAAGATTTGATGCCAAGAAGAAACACATTAAATACTTTGTTACTTTTATTGATTCTCTAGGATTTTCAATATATATAGATACATGGTGTATTTTACAAGGAAAGTAATTACAAAAGATAAGGAAACTAAATTCTAAAAATTAGAAATCATAATCCAACCTAAAATAGAACTCCATAAATATTTACAATTATGACTCAAATCAACATAAAAATGTAATGGCTAGACCGTATAGTCATTTGGTCATTTGAATTGAGATTCTCTGTGGATCTTTGTATTCAGAGTCAACAGATTTAGAAACCGAACCATTCAATTTAATCATGCGACCTCCATTAGCTCATCTCACTGACTCACTTGAGCCACTTCACACAAAATCAAGTTTTTGAAGGGCCCAGATCTCTCTAGCAACAACTCTCCAAAGCTGAAAACAACAAATTTCTCATAGAAATAGCAGAGAAGTAAGCAGTAGTAGCGATCGCATATATACACCAAAGAAAACTTGTGTGATACTATGTGCCAACAACCCTGTTGGTATATGCTGCAGTTTGATTCATCCCAAAAATCTTCCATCTTCATTTAAAATGGTTTTGAAACGAACGCTGCCGGAATAGGCATGTCTAGGAGACTAGAAGAAACAAAAATCAGGTACAGGTTCCATGATTGGATCTCCTTAAAATTGTTGGGAAAATTATAAGAAAATTGTAATATTTTTCTAAGAAGCACGTAGACAATTATAATTAATTTTATTTATTTAATATTAAAAATGAACCAACAAGTACTAATTTCCACATGGTGAAATGATACATTGATTAGGAAAGTAACTAACAGTACACTTAAGGTTAAGGGAAGTGTTATTGGCACTTCAAAAATCTCATTATGCACTCCTCACAAGTGTATTTTTCTTTCTAAATATAGAAAGTTTGGAGTGTAGATTAAGATTTTTGGAGTGCCAATAACAATTCCCAAGTTTTAACATTGACCAAATGAAAAATTCTTACACAGTTTTTAGTTCAAAGAAAAGGAAACAGTACGTATCGAGCCTCTATCGAGCTTCTGGCAAACTAATGGTGACTACATTATTGGAAAAAAATTTAGGTGTTGGAGAAGAAGAACCAACAGCGATGCAATTCCTGTTTGCTGAAAAAAACAGGTTTATTGATAGGTGGAAGCGATGTAGCTTCATTGGCCAACATAAGAACTACAGAAGACATTGTTGGTCGATCAGTTAGAGCGTCTTGGACACATAAAAACCCTACATGGATACATCTCAAAGCTTCATCAGGCCGGCATGTTTCCCTTATGGATTCATCAATCACCTCCATTATTCTACCTTCATTCCATAATTCCCATGCCTGTAGGTTTAGCATATAAACAAACCCATCAATCTTCCAACGCTTAAAATACAAGGAATATGAAGTAGGGGTTCTATTACTTACCCATCCAGCAAGAGAAAATGGATCTTCAAAACAATAAAAAGCAGAATTCTTTACAATCTCTAAGAGCAACACTCCGAAGCTAAACACATCCAATTTCTCTGAAAAATAACCATACATTGCATACTCCGGTGACATGTAACCACTACATGAATTAAAGGTAGATGAGTCAACAACAGCAAGGGATTGCATGAGGTCTACGCAAAGGAAAGCATGCAACTTACTATGTGCCAACAACCCTGTTTGTATTTGCTTCCATTTGATCGATCCCAAAAATCCTTGCCATTCCAAAGTCTGAGATTTTGGGGTTCAATGTTCCATCCAACAGAACATTACTTGCTTTGAGATCCTGGTGGATGATTTTCAATCTGGAGTACTTGTGGAGATAAAGTACTCCTTGAGCAACGCCTTTTATAATTCGAAAACGTTTACCCCAATCCAGTTTTTCCTTTCAGATGGATGATTGCCAAAAACCATGAGGGAAAATGATTTTAGTGAAAATTCTTTAAAAGTTGGAAAGAGATCTTGCAGAAGGGTAATGAAATGTGACCCCCAAACAATATGAAAGAATTAATGTTAGAAGTGATGAGCATCAACCAAACAAAAATTTGTCCAAACTTCGATTGGGCATGAACTCGTAGATCAATATCATTTCTTCATCTTCAATACAGCAACCCAAGAGCCTAACGAGATTGGTATGTTGCAGCTTGGCAATAAGCTTCAACTCATTCATGAACTCCTGATGTCCTTGTCCTGACTTTCTTGACAGCCTTTTTATCGCTACTTCATTTTCAGTCAAAATCCCCTGTAGAGGATGAAAAGTACCACAAAAAGAGAACCAATAGACTCGTTAACAATGAAACCTAATTCAAACATTGTTAAACTTAATTCTAACCTTATTGAGGAATATGAAGAACAAATAATGTACTAGCAGTGCACACACTGGAAGGGTCACCTTATAAACAGGGCCAAATCCTCCCTCTCCGAGTTTATTAGATTCAGAGAAGTTGTTTGTAGCAGCTAATATACTCCTTAAACTGAAGAGTGGTAGTTCTGTTTCATTCCTTCCACCTCCAGCGTTAACATTTCTTACAACCTCACTCATACTTCCTCCGATGCTCCCTGTTTGAGACTTATTGTTAGAGCACCGTTTCTTTGGATAGAATCGGGTTTGCTAATTGGTGACTGCACATGTACAAGAGAGAGAGAGAGAGAGAGAGATGTCGTGTGTGTGGTATCAATACTGTTGACTTTTGTATTTTAGGTAGGATCCCTAATTGATATGTAATCCCATGTAACTTGTAATTAGTTTTCTTTCCTTTTATGTTAGGGTTGTACACCTATAAGTTCCTCTTATTGAGAAGAATATATTATTATTCAAAGCATTCTCTTCTTGGCATCAGAGCCAGGTCGAAAAAAAAGAAAAAAATTACCCCATAGCTGCGATAGCACTGTTGCGGCTCAGCCGTGTGTGGTGCGTTGACCTCGATCAGCGAGCGACTGTTGTCGTTGCTACCCTCTCTGAATTCGAAATGAACAGCGAGCGACGCCGTCGTTGCTGATTCGAATTCATTGAATCGTTTGACTCTCTGTTGTGTGACACGACAAACCAATTGGCCTATTTGCTTCTGATTTGATCTGAAGCCGTGAAAAATTGAAGCTTCTTGGGCTTGGTTTGCTTGGAAATTTATGCTTTATCAATCACCGAGTGACGTATTGAGGGAATGGCAGTTTGGACTTGTGATTCTGCTAATACAGGTAACAATGGTAAGGCTTTAAAGGTTTCTACCTCTGTTATGAATAATACATGGATAATTGATTCTGGTGCTACTGAACATATGACTTGTGATTCTAGACAGGTAGAAACCCTAAAACCATCCACCAAAACTGTCAGTGTCGCCAATGGTAATCCTGCCCCTGTTATCGGGGAAGGAACCGTCTCCCTTTCAGATACCCTTAGTCTTGATACCGTATTTGTTGTGCCTTCTCTTGACTATAATTTATTATATGTTGATCAAATAACTGTCGTCCTGCATTGCCTTGTGATTTTTTGGCCTTCTTTTTGTGTTTTTAAGGACATTCGGACTCGCAAGACGATTGGTTATGGTATTAGGAAAGGGAAGCTCTACTACTTGGAGCTGACATCAAACAGTTCTCGAATGTTGACTCAAGCTCTTGCAGTGGAAGGAAATCCGGGGGATAGGAATAAAGCTTCGGAGGTTTGGTTGTGGCATCGTCGACTTGGACATGCTTCTTTCGGCTATCTACGGAGGTTGTTTCCTAGCCTCTTTGGTAAGCATGATGTTTCTAGCTTTAAATGTGGTGTTTGTGAACTAGCTAAAAGTCATCGTGCTTCGTTTCCATCCAGTTTGAATAAAAGTTATGTTCCATTTATGATAATTCATTCTGATGTTTGGGGTCCATCTAAAACTGCTACATTTGGTGGTGCTCATTGGTTCGTTACTTTTATTGATGACTGCACACGTATGACTTGGGTTTGTTTGATGAAATCCAAAGGTGAAGTTACTTCTTTGTTTCAACAGTTTTACAAAATGGTACAAGTATAACAAATACATGTTCTCAGGAGTGATAATGGTGGCGAATATGTTAACTCTGAACTTCGTGCCTTTCTTGATCATCATGGGATTGTTCATCAAACTACATGTCCATATACTCCACAACAAAATGGGGTTGCCGAACGCAAGAACCGTCAGCTTCTGGAGGTTGTTCGTGCTTCCTTACTCGAGGCTCGTCTCCCGTTATCCTATTGGGGAGAAGCTTTCACCTCAGCTGCGTATCTCATTAATCATGTTCCATCCCGATCGGTTGATTTTCAGACACCCCTTCAGGCACTTTCTTCACATGTTGATGCTCCTGCAGTCCCTAATCTTCCACCTCATGTGTTTGGTTGTGTGGCATTCGTTCATCTTCAGAAACAACAGCGAAGTAAGCTTGAACCTCGAGCCTTACGATGTGTGTTTGTGGGGTATGCATCAAGGCAGAAAGGATACCGTTGTTATCACCCACCGACGAATAAGTTGTTTGTCACTATGGATGTTGCGTTTCATGAGAATGATATGTACTTTGCCAATCCCGAGTTTTCACTTCAGGGGGAGAATCAGAAAGAAGTTCAAACTAATGATTTGGATTTAAGTGGTGATGTCTTGGAAATAAGTGGTGATCATTCACACGAAAATAATGATGTGAATGAATTGGAATTAAGTGGTAATGTCTTGGAGACAAGTGGTGATCATTCACATGGAAACAATGTTGAAAACCTTGAAAGGGACGAGTCGACATCGCCAGATAACTCACTGCCTGATAGCTCATTGCCAGTTTCCTCACCACCGGACAGCCCTGTGTCGCCAGCTACCTCACAGTCGATCTTGAGTCCCAATAACCATAATCAATCGTCTTCAATCCCAGATGCACCACCACCACGTCGTCTCCCTGATCGCGTCAACCGAGGTATTCCTAAACTTACTTATGAAGCCGACCCTAAATGCAAAACTAGGTATCCAGTGAGTAAGCCCAACCCTAAGTCTAATATGTTATACCCGTTAAGTAATTATGTGTCTACCAGTCACCTGTCAGAATCAAATAAGTCGTTTGTGCATCAATTATCTACTGTATATTCCTAACAGTGTGCAGGAGGCTTTAACTGATCCACGTTGGCAAGTAGCAATGAATGAAGAGTTGAAGTCTTTGAAGAAGAATGCTACCTAGGAAATCACAGATTTGCCAGCTGGTAAGAAACCTGTGGGATGCAAATGGGTCTATACTGTGAAATACAAAGCAGATGGGACGATGGATCGTTTCAAGGCAAGACTGGTAGCAAAAGGATACACTCAAAAATATGGAATCGACTACACATATACATTTGCACCTGTAGCCAAGATCAACATAGTTCGTGTTTTGTTGTCATTGGCTGCAAATCTTAATTGGCCCTTACAACAGTTCGATGTGAAGAACGCCTTCGTGCATGGAGACTTGACAGAAGAGATTTATATGGATCTTCCACCGGGATGTAATGCTCCAGATAAATACAAAAGAAAAGTGTGCAGGTTGAAGAAATCCTTGTATGGCTTGAAGTAGTCTCCTCGAGCATGGTTCGGAAGATTCACAAAATCTATGAGAGCATTCGGTTACATACAAAGTAACTCTGATCATACTTTGTTCCTGAAAAGACAGAATGGGAAGCTTACTGCACTTATTGTGTATGTAGACGATATGGTGGTAACAGGTAATGATCCAGAAGAACGTGGGGCCTTGCAAAGATACCTGTCTACAGAATTTGAAATGAAGGACCTTGGATCCCTGAAATATTTTTTAGGGATTGAGGTGTCGAGAAACAGTTCTGGAATTTTCTTGTCTCAGAGGAAGTATATTATTGATTTGTTGCACGAAACTGGCATGTCAGCTTGTTAGCCAGTAGCTACACCATTAGAAGAAGGATTGAAGCTTAGTGTTGATCCTAATCAAGTACCAGTTGACAAAGGAAGATACCAAAGGTTAGTAGGCCGTTTGATGTATTTGGCACATACAAGACCGGACCTTGCTTATGCCTTGAGTGTAGTGAGTCAATACATGCATGATCCTGGAGAACAACATATGAATGCCGTGATGAGAATATTGCGATATTTGAAGGGAAGTCTGGGCAAAGGAATTTTGTTTAAGAGGAATAATCACTTTAGTGTTGAAGGTTATACTGATGCAGACTGGGCAGGTTCCATTGATGATAGACGCTCAACATCAGGTTACTTTACGTTTGTTGGGGGTAACTTGGTTACATGGAGAAGTAAGAAACAGAATGTGGTTGCCCGTTCCAGTGCAGAAGCAGAATACAGAGGTATGGCTTTGGGGATTTGTGAAATTTTGTGGCTTAAGCTTCTGTTAAGCGATTTGGGTATACAACATGATCAGCCCATGAAAATATTTTGTGATAATAAAGCTGCTCGTGACATTGCACATAATCCGGTACAACATGATAGAACAAAGCATGTTGAAGTTGATCGGTTCTTCATCAAAGAAAAATTGGAAGGGAAAATAATTGAAGTACCGGCGATAAGAACAGAAGATCAGTTGGCAGATATCCTTACAAAAGCTGTTTCGAGTCACAAGTTTTCAAGTTTCTTACACAAGTTGGGCATGAGCGACATATATGCACCAACTTGAGAGGGAGTGTTGACTTTTGTATTTTAGGTAGGATCCCTAATTGATATGTAATCCCATGTAATCACTTGTAATTAGTTTTCTTTCCTTTTATGTTAGGGTTGTACACCTATAAGTTCCTCTTATTGAGAAGAATATATTATTATTCAAAGCATTCTCTTCTAGTACCTCCATTTCTCAAAGTTTTCTTCTACAAGAAATAGCCAAAAATTATTGTCAGCGATCCTGCTATTGCCGAGACTATGGCTATTGCAAGCTGCTGAATATGACCCTTACCACCTGCAACGAAGAGAAATGGATCCCATTAACAAATAAAATGATGGTCCCAAGTAATTTCCATTCTAGGCAAAATACTGTTGAATAAGTGGCCAAGTGGCCAAGTGGAGAACAAAACAAAAAAAGCTTTTGGCTATTAAACAAATCAAAAGAAAAAAAAGGACAACATGATTATGTTTCTTCCTTGTTTTGGGGAAAAGAAAATGATGATGTCTCTTTGGCTTTTTTTAAAGAAAAGAATAAGGGGGTTTCGGTTGGGGCACTAAGTGTGAGAAAAAAAGCTCATTTCATTTTGGAGTAGATAGAGAAGAGAGCTGCTGAGAAAAGCAGAGCATCAGAAAAAATAGAAAGGGTGCAGCAACCCTTCGTTGAAGAGAAGAAGAAAGTGGTCTTCTTTTTTGGTTAGCAATCATCCATCATAGTTGTTGTTGTAATAGTTTTGAGCTATATGTATAGAGAAGAAATTATACATTATATTTCTTTCTCTATTTGTTTCTGTGGTGTGTGAGAGCTATTGGGTGTATTGGGTTATTTGGGTTGTGAGATTGCCAACACTTTGTAAACTCCCATTTGGTTGATAGTGGATTATTGGGTGAGCTCCTACTGCTCCGAGGACGTACTCCAGTTACACTGACTGTTGAGGAACCTTGTTAAAATCTTGGTGTTCTTGCATTTCATAAGATAAATTTCTTGTGGGTTAGCTTGAGTTGGTTCCATAAAGGTTTGGTGCTATCCTAGCACAACAATTGGTATCAGAGCACTGGTTGCTCTTGAGTACTGTCTAGTTGCCAAAGATGTCAGACGGGCAAGATGAGAATCCTTTTGGAAACAGCTCCGAGTTTGCAAGAACTACGGTGCAAAATGCAAAGTTCGAAGTGGAAAAGTTTGATGGCACAAACAACTTTGGGATGTGGCAATGTGAGGTCAAAGATGTGTTGGCTCAACAAGATCTACTTGCCGCTTTGGGAGAGAAGCCGGAAGCTATGTCGAAGCCGGAATGGGAGAAATTAAATTTGTGGGCTTGCTCTTCAATTCGGTTGTGCCTTGCAAAAACTCAGAAGTATTTTGTGATGCGGGAGACATTAGCAAGTGTGTTGTGGCAAAAATTGGAAGACAAGTATATAATGAAGAGTGCAGAGAACCGGCTACACTTGAAGAAAAAGCTCTACCGCTTCCAATACAAAGAAGGTACAAAAATGATTAGACACCTTGGTGCTTTTAATAAGTTGATTGCCGACTTGTTAAATTTAGATGAGGATATTAAGGATGAAGATAAGGCCTTAATATTGTTGAATTCCTTGCCGGACTCTTATGAGCATTTTGTTACCACTATTATGCATGGTAAAGAAACTGTGAAATTTGAAGATGTGTCAAATGCCTTGATGAATTATGAAATGAGGCATAGAGATAAAAACCATGATAGTACCTCTGAAGCTTTATTTGTTAGAGGTAGATCATCGGAGAGAAGATCATCTTCTAGTAGGAAAAAATCACAGTCTCGACCTAGAGGAAACTCTAAAGGTAGAAAACCTTTGAAAAGGGATGAATGTGCCTTTTGTTGTAATAAGGGTTATTGGAAGAAAGATTGTCCTAGATTGAAGACCAAAGGCAAAGAAAGTTCTGAAGCTAATGTTGCTGAGGTTGAAACAGATTTTTCTGATTTTGCTTTAACCACTTCCTCATTATTTGATTGTGCTACTAAGTGGGTGTTGGATACGGGTTGCACTCATCATATGACTCCTCACAAGGATTGGTTTTCAAGCTTGAAAGAGTTTGATGGTGGCGTTGTGTTCATGGTAGATGACAATCCTTGCATAACAAAAGGGATTGGTACAGTTCGTTTGAAGTTGCATGATGGCATGGTTAAAGAGTTGACAGGTGTTCAGTATGTACCGAATTTGAAGAAAACTCTTATTTCTTTGGGTACTTTGGAATCCAAGGGCTTCAGGTTTCATTCAGATAGACATACATTGAAAGTTACTTATGGTGCACTTGTTGTGATGAAAACTCCTCGATGTGGCTATTTGTATTTATTGCAAAGAAGCACTGTGACATGTGAAACATCTGTAGTCTCAGAAAATATGGGCACATCCGATTATGATACTACTAGACTGTGGCATATGAGATTAGGCCATGCCGGTGAGAAAGCTCTACAAGGGCTTGTGAAACAAGGTATTCTAAAATGTGCCACGACTTGTAAGCTTGATTTCTGCGAGCATTGTGTCTTGGGGAAGCAAACTAGAGTGAAGTTTGGTACTGCTGTACATCAGACGAAGGGCATTCTTGATTATGTGCATTCAAATGTTTGGGGTCCTACAAAGACTCCCTCTTTGAGTGGTAGACATTGGTTCGTGACCTTTGTTGATGATTATTCAAGAAGGTCTTAGGTCTACACTATGAAGCACAAGAGTGAGGTGTTGAGCATTTTCTTGGGTTGGAAGAAAATGGTTAAGAACCAGACTGGGAGAAAGATTAAGATTTTGAGATCGGATAATGGTGGTGAATACACATCTGACCCTTTCTTGAAAGTTTGCAAAGAAGAAGGGATTGTAAGACATTTCAGTGTTCGGGGAACTCCACAACAAAATGGAGTTGCAGAAAGATTGAATCGAACCTTGCTTGAGAAGGTTAGATGCAGGTTGTCTCAGTCGGGTTTGAGCAAGTCGTTTTGGGCAGAGGCAGTTAATTATACATGTCACATCATCAACCGGTTACCCTCAGCTGCTGTTCAGGGTAAGACACCAATGGAGGTATGGACTGGAAAACCTTCTTCTAATTATGACTATATCCGTATGTTTGGTTCACCTGCTTATTTTCATGTGACTGAAAATAAACTTGATCCTAGAGCCAAAAAGGTTATCTTTCTTGGTTTTAGTAGTGGTGTCAAAGGTTACAGGTTGTGGTGCCCAGAGATGAAAAAACTTGTAATCAGCAGAGATGTGACATTTGATGAAGAAAGTATGTACAAAGTCTCTAAGAAGAATGTGAAAGATGTCCAACAGGTGGAGCTTGAGAAAGTTGCCTCTGGTACTTCAAATCCCATTTCCGCTGATGTTGAAGCCACTACAAGTGAAGAAGTTGGAGACCATGAGGATGTTGAAGAAGTTGAACTTGAAGATTCTATTCAAGTTGAAGAGGAAGTTTCACCTCAAGAGTTCATTGCCAAGAATAGAGGAAAGAGACAAATTACCAAGCCAGCTCGGTATAGTGACTATGTTTCTTTTTCTTTTCCTATTATCACTGATGAGATTCCATCCAATTTTGAGGAAGCTATTGAGAGTGAAGAAAATGAGAAGTGGTGCAATGCCATGGGTGATGAGATGAATTCTCTCTTGAAGAACAAGACTTGGGAGTTAGCTAAATTGCCTAAGGACAAGAAAGCTATCGGTTGCAAATGGGTGTATGCCAAGAAGGAAGATGCTGATGAGAAAAGCAATGTGAGATTTAAAGCAAGATTAGTTGCTAAAGGGTATGCTCAAAAGGAGGGCATTGACTACAATGAAATATTTTCTCCGGTTGTGAAGCACTCCTCAATTCGTATTATGTTAGTTCTTGTTGCACAATATGATCTTGAGCTTGTGCAACTCGATGTGAAGATGGCTTTCCTACATGGTGATTTGAATGAAGAGATCTATATGTGTCAACCAGATGGATATATAGTGAAAGGGAAGGAAAATTTGTTTTGCAAATTGAAGAAATCACTTTATGGCTTGAAGCAATCTCCAAGGCAATGGTATTTGAGGTTTGATAAATTTATGAGAGGCCAAAATTATTCTAGAAGTCAATATGATCATTGTGTGTACTTCAAGAAGTTGCAAGATGGGTATTTCATTTATTTGTTTATATATGTTGATGATATGTTGATGATATGTTGATTGCCTCAAAGAATGTTGAAGAGATTGAAAAATTGAAGAAGCAAATGAAGAATGAGTTTGAGATGAAGGATCTTGGTGAAGCGAAGAAGATCCTTGGCATGGAGATCACTAGAGATAGAGAGAAGGGTTTGGTCAGTTTGAATCAAAGACAATACATTGAGAAGTTGATTCGGAAGTTTAGAGTTCATGATTCAACCAAACCGGTTAGTACCCCTTTGGCTCCTCATTTTAAATTGAGTTCTCTACAATGTCCTAAAACTGATAAAGAGAAGCTGCAAATGAAAAATATACCATATGCAAATTTGGTTGGTAGTTTGATGTATGCAATGGTATGCTCTAGACCGGATATTGCTCATGCAGTTGGCATGGTGAGTCGATATATGCATAATCCAGGTAAAGAGCATTGGCAAGCAGCTAAGTGGATATTGAGGTATCTCCATGGTACTCGAGATGTTGGTTTATGTTTTGAGAGAGATGACTCTGGTATTGGTCATTTTGCAGTTGGTTATGTTGATTCAGATATGCAGGTGATTTGGATGGAAGGAAGTCTACTACAGGCTATGTGTTTACTATGGCTAAAGGGCCAGTTTGTTGGAGGTTTATTTTGCAGTCATCTGTTGCCTTGTCTACTACAAAGGCTGAATATAGCAGTTGCTGAAGCTATAAAGGAGGCCATTTGGATACATGGGCTGATTAAAGATTTGGGGGTTGATCAGAAGTAGGTGGAGGTACATTGTGATAGTCATAGTGCCATTTATTTGGCTAAGTATCAGGTTCATCATGCGAGGACCAAGCACATAAATGTGCGTTATCACTTTGTTCGTGAAATTGTTGGTGAAGGGGAAATCATTCTCCAAAAGATTCCAACTAAAGACAACCCCGCTGATATGTTGACTAAGGTTGTTGGTGTAGCCAAGTTTGTTAATTACTTGAACTTGGCTCACATTTTGCCTATATAAAGAAGGCGTTGAGCAATAGGAGTTTTGGAGCATTTAGCTCAGCATGAGTTGTTCTCTTGCTAGTATTTTGGAGTGATGTTGTTTGTTAATTGTGTTGGTTGGCTTATCATGGCGTTTTTTCGGAACTTGGCCAAGGTGGAGATTGTTGAATAAGTGGCTCAGTGGCCAA